GGATGTACACTTATTCAATTACCGTTGTGGAATGTGCAATGCAGTTCTAAATGAGGAATAGCATTGGCGGCAGCTTGGTATTGAGCTGCCGTGCGTGATGTCATGGGTAAGATTCTCAATCATTGCGCAAAAGTCTGATCGAAGATCAATGAAAAAAAAAAAAGAAGCACTTCTTGCAGTGCCGATAGTTACAGCGCGAGAGCAAAATGACAACACGGAGACAAAAAGGACACAAAGGACACCCTTCTTCTCCGTCATTCTTGTCTCCGTGTAGTCGTTTTGTTCTGGCACTATAACTATCGTCATGCCATACCAACTAACCCAAGCTCCACACTCCTTGCCGTGCATTAGGCTGAGGTTAACATATTCTCGTGAAAGTTAAAGTAAAATGCTGCCCCTGTGTTTCTCAATAACCAAGTGAAAATTCATGTGATGTAAAACCCGACCACTTAATTATTATCTGGCACAGTTTCCTTGCTAAGTTTGGTACCAATAACGTGTTTTTGTACCTATATTGCTCCTGTAGGCTTGATACACAAACTTCTAATGCGCATTGTCACTTTATAAGGATCGTGCCGTAATAGTACAAAGCAGTTAAACAACAAAGATCTTCGCTGTTTCCATTAACACGTATCAGGTATCCGATAATACGAGTTATAGCTGTGGTGAAGCCTATATGCAGATTCAGCAATGCTACAACATGCTTATAGCTCATGCGTAGTCGTATATATCACCCGGAGATCGTGCACTTTTATTTTTCTCCACACTGTGCATACGCTGAGATGTACACACTCACAGATGATAGCGTCAAATGCATTCGTACTTTGACTAAAATGTCAGTTCGTGAAGTTCCATCGACAAGCGGTTACTGCAACCAGCCCACAACGAATACCAGTGTTTTTGCAAACAAGATGCATCACGTTATTCCCACTGCACACACCACGCACAATATTTCCAGTTTCACCGTCCATAAAGGTGAACCAATATTTTCAATGCCTGTCGACGCACCCTACACCACAATCAAGACTGCACATTTTCGAAGACGATGCCCCTGTTCTCGCACAGGCCACCACGTGTGTTCCCTTCTCCGAGATAAACAGCCAGCCAGCGTGGCTAATATTTCGTCATGTACTTTACCACACACCTAGATTTTCTCTGACACATACCACAGCTAATGTTGCCCCTGTGAGATCAAGATTAAGCTTTCAAAAAGAAAAAAAAAAACTTGCTCCAAGCACCGAGCGACTGCACTCCACTCAGCCAGCGGCGGGAGTGTTTTGCCAACCACCGCCTTGCTTGTGCACCGGTGACGCCAAGCTGCGTCGTACCCCAATATATGTCTACTGGACATCAGAAACCGCCCCAGTGGGTACATCCTGATTTGTTGGAATGATAGGCGAGGTGGTTCGATCGGCTGGAGGAAGTCTGCTGGCTTTGTCCGCGGTGTCTTGCACCGCTGGCAGTCTCGGCAAGTTCTTACGTAGAGGGTTACGTCTGCATTAAGGCGGGGCCAGTAGTACTTTTATAGTATCCTCGCCAGCGTACGGGAAAACCCAAGGTGTCTAACCGTCAGGTCATCATGCAGAGCATCCAGAACTTTAGGACGTAACGCCGAAGGTACTATTATGAAGTAGTTGGCCTGATGAGGTGAGAAGTTTTTCTTGACGAGGATGCTGTTCTGCAAGGAAAACAATGACAGCCCTTGCTTGAATACCTTTGGAACATCGGCAGCTTTTCCCTCGATGTATTCCACAAGGCTCTTGATTTCAGGGTCGGCTCTTTGTCGTTTGGCAAAGTCATCGACGCTTAAGGTTCCTAAGAAGTAGTCGGTGTCGTCGTCAATCTGCGGTGCTGGGTCAACGGGGGCATGAGACGGGCAGTCGGCATCAAGAGTGCTTTCGTCCGAACTTGTCAACGACGGCAACGTAGAATTCCTGAAGTCGCAGACTACACTGTGCAAGGCGACCTGAAGGGTCCTTCCCGTTAGCTAGCCAACAGAGAGCGTGGTGGTCGCTCACAACTTTAAAAGGCCTGCTGCAGAGGTAGGGGCGAAACTTGGATGTAGCCCAGATGATGGCAAGGCACTCTTTTTCTGTTGTGGAATAGTTGCATTCTGCCTTTGATAGTGACTAGCTAGCATAACTGATAACCCTTTCTTCTCCATTAGTCTTCTGCAGCAGAACGGCGAGAGGCCTACGCTGCTTGCATCGGTGTGAATCTCCGTATCGGCGTATTCATCGAAATGCGCAAGTTTCTGAGGGGTCTGCAGGCATTGTTTCAGTTTCTAAAATTATTCAATTTGTGCTATTCCCCACTTGAAATCGACGTCCACCGATCAACTGACAAGCGGCGACGCGTGTCGACATTTATACTCTTGACATAGAATATTCTAGCGTTATCACTAGTGGCGACGTAGATTCCAGAATAATCTGTATTGCTCATGAAGTGGGCATAATCTTAACAAAACGATCTACTGCAGTCCCGAAGCTTCTCGAACAGTGCATGTGCGGTTTGGGCTGAGAATTACATACAATGTAACGGGGTGATAAGAAAACTTGTGGAGGGGATGGGGCAGTGTTATATTCTCACGTGCTTGATCGAGAAAGACAATGGCATTCGTGCATGTGCCATGAAGGACTGTGAAATAAATGAAAAAGAATAACTCGCTTGCGCATTCGATTAAAGAGACCGACCTGCTTCTGCTGTCTCAATCTCTGCGGCAAGACCTCTGCTTTGACGTCGTTGATTGATTGATTGATATGTGGGGTTTAACGTCCCAAAACCACTATATGATTATGAGAGACGCCGTAGTGGAGGGCTCCGGAAATTTAGACCACCTGGGGTTCTTTAACGTGCACCCAAATCTGAGCACACGGGCCTACAACATTTCCGCCTCCATCGGAAATGCAGCCGCCGCAGCCGGGATTCGAACCCACGCCCTGCGGGTCAGCAGCCGAGTACCTTAGCCACTAGACCACCGCGGCGGGGCGCTTTGACGTCGTGACCATATACTTTAGAAACAAGCAGTGTTGTATACATTACCGAAAAACTAACCACACAGGTTACTGGCTACGCTAACAATAAAGAATTGCGTTACTGCCCTACGTTGCATACAAAAAAAGGTAACGAGTTACCGTTACTGAAACAGTAATAACGCACGTCTTTGATTATACTTCAAGATCAGAAGTTTGAATCAGTGTGCTCTCGCTGTGGGAGCCAGAATAACCTTTAAATAAAGCTCATGTAATTATTTGACACCTCATTCATAAAGCATTCGATACACATGGTTCTGGTACTATAATTGATACCAGAAAGATGATGATCATGATGATTTGTATGTGCAAGGGAAGATGATAAACTTCACAGTCAGCGCTCACAATATTCTTTAATTTACCTATGTATCTATTAATTTTATTTCAATTTAATAGTCAGTGCCATTGATTACCAAAGCAACATTAGGTCACGCCATTATATTGCAAAAAAAAAAAAACTATGCAAGAAAAGCAATAACATAGTTAAATATAGAAACCATTGTGAGCTGCACAACTAAACAGGATGCACGAGAAGAAACAGAGTACAAGTGCACTGTATGTCTGTACACGTCTGTTCCTTCTTGTATGTCCTGTTTAATTTCACAACTCACGATGGTTTCTATGTAAAAACACTGAGTAAGCTGCAGTGAACTCTTTTAGAGTTTAGCAATCATGTTGACAGTTGCGAGCAGCGCAGATGCATAAATCGCAATTTGTTGAGTTTTTTGCAGGCGAGCCCCATCTGTCGAATGCAAAAAAAAAACTCCTTTGCTTATAGTGCCCCGCAAGCACAGCAGTGCAAGAACAAAGCAAAAAGCAAAGCACAGCCATAGGCGTAATCACACACACCAGGTGGCAGGTTCCTGTCACGTGCACATGTATGTCACAGGAACCTGCCACATGCATGCGCAGCTATCCGACACTTTGTTTTTGTTGCGTTTCTCACGGTGAACTTTGTAGGCCACCTGTAGCACATGACATGATGGGCTGTTCGCTAGCTATGTTTTAAACATAGAGCGGTTCAACCATACGCTGTAGCATGGGAATCGAAACTACAGCACTGATCCATGCGTGTTCGTTACTGGAGAAAAGAAACAGAGCTTCAGATTACAAAAAAGGTGAATTCCACCGGCCAAAACAAGGACAGCTTCCCCTTATCGAGAGTGAAGTTCTTGAAAAATTGGAGGATCTTTAAGCTTTAAACGCGATAGCGAAATTGGAGGATCTTTAAACGCGATAGCGAAATCTGGCCCCTAGTGCACCCTTCAACCGCTAAGTGCATACTTATTTATATGTTTTGTTATATACACATGCCCACACACAAACACGCACACAGTAGATTGCATCAGCGCACACTATTATCGCCGAATGGGCTCGTTTTCGTCGTGACACTTGTCGAATGAAATGCGTTAAAAACACATTTTCAAGTAACCATAGAATTATATTCACTAGAAGAGCTTATCGCCTCACAATTTCAATGCTGCAAAAATTTTAAGAATCCATCCAGTACGAGTGTTGTTACAAAGGTTTGTCACGTGCTGCAATTGCATTATCTCTTCTCTTGTCCCGACGAAAGTGCTGGAAGCTAAGCAGGGGGGGTGGCAGGGCAAAGAAACTGCCTTGCTTTATAACCTTGAGAACTTTTTTTTTTTCTTCAAATGCGCGACTTTTTCAGGGTGATCGCGCGTGCACGCGTGGCCTTCCGCGGCTATCTCGGTAACTTGATTTTTCAATCACAGACACACAGATAATTTTTCGCTCACAACCAATGAGGCCGACGCCGGCGGCGGGTTTTCTGTAACACAAGCTCTTTGACACTATTGGGTTAATAGATGCACAGGCTCTGTGGTCCTACCTCTTAATCAAAGGCCAGCAGGGGTTGGACGACAACGAGTTTCTTAATATCGTCATGTAAAATTTCTGCATCATGTGAAATTGTGCTTTGTTATGGTAACAATGATATCTGACCTGATCTGGCTCGTCCCTGCCATCGAGGAAGAACTTCACAAATGGCCCGCAGTGGCTGAGGTGTGTGTAGTAGGACATGTACGAGGCAAAGCTGGCCTTGCATCCACGCTCGGGGCACGAAAACCGTGTTATTTTGAGGCTGGCTTGTCGCAGGGCTGATCTCATCTCCTCCAAGCTCAGAGGCCGCTCGTCATTCACCCGTGCCTGCGTTAGAGAAAACAAGCTCTCGTTGACATCATCTGATCTATGACACAAAATGGCACTGGGCCATCAGGTTCCCACTTGGTAGCCCTAGCTTGCTGCCGTATTAATGACGAGCTGAGCTATTACAGTAAAATACACTCGCACTTCCTTATAACAAAGTTGCATTTCACTCGAAAATAATGGTGTCATCCATTGGCAGACTCGGAACCACTTCCGACATCAATTTTTCTGCTCCATGAGGAGCAAGTGTGCTCCACAGGCAGACTGAGAGTGCTCCCCACAGGTTATATGGGCAGATCCAGAGCTGCTTCATTGCAAGATCCACACCACAAAGTAGCCTTTTCTACTCCATGAAAAATGGCGAACTCGATCGTGCCCTGGAACGGCGACAACTGTGGGAGCGTCAACGGACCCTGGTCGCATTGGTCGCGCCTCACGTCAAACTATACAGCGCTCACTGTGCCAAGCGTGCCAATCTCATGCAAGAAGGAAGACGTGCACATTCTGACCATCCGATTTGATCTAACAGGAGCGTGTGTTTCTGTTGGTAGATTCCTTTCTATTGTCCTCCTCCAAAGTGAAGTGCTTCAGCACAGAGTTCGTCGGCCACTCCAAATCTGCCAGCAGATGACACTAGTAAGCTTGTTATATCCAAAAAATATATATAAAGGTATATTTTATATCTGTTGCAAGACTATTCTTCGTTTATTTCATTATAACCTACATTTCGTTATGTATCCGGCTATGTTATATCAAAGTTTGAGTGTATATCATTTACCACAAGTGGTATACAAATCGTGAAGGAGCTTGAGCGTGTTTTCTATCACACAATGCTCCAACGTTTTCTTCCAATTTAAAAACTACTGTTGAGACCAACATAAAAAAAAAAAAAAGTGGTCCCTTTCTGCCCATTCCTGATATGGAATGAATGACAAAAAAAGAACACTGTGCCCACCTTGTGCCAAGCACCACCATGTGACAGGAGGTGCTGAAGGGTCATTCCACATGCCTTTCTTTAAAGGGACACTAAAGGCAACTATTCAGTTGATGCTGATTGTTGAAATAGCCACCCAGAAACCTCGTAGTGTAATTTCAGTACCAAGCAAGAGCTTATTTTGAAATAAAATCACATTTTAGTGACTCGCATCGAGTTAGCGCACTTCAAATTACCCGCCTCAAGAAGTAGACCACCTAATGTTACTGTTGCCGAGCACAACGTTGCCGGGCTTTACTGCGTGGTCGTCGATGCTAGTAGACAGAATGAAAGCACCGGGAGCCACAGCAGCAACAATGACCATTGATGAATTTCTCGCCATTGGCTCAGAGATGGCAGGCGTGTTTTGGTTCAATTGCACCACGATAGATGGCACGACCTGTCCAGTGTAACCACAGCAAAATTTAATTTTTGAACCCCTCGCGCCATTCCTCATAGTAAGGTTCGGCAGTTCTTTTTTTTTTTTCATAAATCAAACAGAAAAGAACAAGTTGCATTTTGTTGCATCTCTTGAAGCATGAAAGGTTCTTAATTTAGTGCAGCTAGACCGATTACTAGTGGTTAACACTACGTGGTTCGTCAGACGCCACCGGCATCATTTTGAGAATGTCCTACAACAGCGCATGTATTCTTCTGCATTCACTTTAATTTCTATGTAAGTAGGATACTGCTCTTTATAATAATATTGTTTTAAGTGTCATACATTGAGCTTTCACTCTGACATAAATCGTTATTTGACTTTATTGTCCCTTTAAAACAAAAAAAAAATGTCTAAGAGCATCCAGTTCTGCATTATGCGACATATTGCGTGGCACTTGCAGTGTATTCCTCAAACCCGCAGTGCATTCTTTTCAAGCGTCCCTCTTTGTTCTTCAGTATCGATCAAGCTACTTGTTGTTCTTAATGTGACATTCTAGTTTCTTGCTATTGGATTCACTGCTTTGACTTGGCTTGCGGCAAAACTGTAACTATCCCCACGTTTCCCTTTAAAGCTCAGATCCAACTCAATCTGATGAATTTTTGGTAGCTATAAGACTTTCAACTGGTTTTACACACATGGGGTTCTGCACCAACTGTTCCACGCATAAATGTTTTCATCTTCAACAAAAATATAGTTTGCAACTGTGACTGAACCTCATGTTAGAAAACGTCATGCTCTGTGGCAAGGAAGAATGACGAAAACTGGATAACAGAAAACATTATTAACAGAGTGCACATGACAGTGTCTGCTTCTTGGAAGTCAGAACAAACCACTTAAATGTTCGATACTTTCTTTTCATAAATACATAGATTCATACACTCACAAGGTTGTAGTGTGCCATCAGCACATGTTCGGTGACTGCCTCCTTGCAGGCGAATGACTTGTGGCAGCCTGAGCACACAAGTGCTGTCTGCAACAGAGCAATCATAGTGATTATATAATGTTTATTGACATATCATCGTCAGCCAGATTAGACCCACAGCAGAGCACAAGCCTGTCCCATGACATAAAATGTCTAACAAACACATTTCGATTAGTGGGCAAGTAACCCTAGGGTTCAATATTGTCATCTATCTGAATGAACAAACTAAAACTAACTAGGCACTAAGCCTTCTAAGTGACAAATATGTCTTTAAACATACTCTAACGAGGCCAAGAACAAGCCTGCCGGGAGCACCAGACCCAATTAAACAGCCTTGCCTGAAAAATGAGTAAAAACAAGTGGTGGTTTCTAACTTTTGTGCAGATGGATTTATTTCCGATTGTGTGCTCTAACATGATTTCTTTAAAGGGCAAATCACCAGGTTTGACAATTTTAAGCTGAAAAGCGCACTGCGTACATGAGGCATTCACGATCAGGTCTGCCGAAATTCGCAACGCTACGCAGTGCGGAAATGGGCCCAATTTCAATATGAACTCTGCTTGCTCTCTCTTTCGCGGGCGCATGCCCAGAGAATGAGGGCATGACGTGCATGTAGAAATTGCCGTACGTACACGGCAGTGCTGAGATGCCAATCCTTTACGTAGACGACTGTGCTTCGATGTTGCCAACAGTGGCACATGACAAGGCAAAAATTACTTAACATGACATTCGTAATTTATGTAATTTGTCGTTTGAATAGATTAATAAAGCATGAGATAAATCATGAGACGCAATAGGAGAATGTGCGCGTTGCTTCCAATTTTTCGTCATGAATTGCAACGAAATGCGGGGCTAATGTGCCTGTGTTTGGCATGTGTTCATGTCCCTGCAGTTAGCACATCGAGCAGACGCCAGCCGTGGAAATGAAAGTATTGCTCCTACGCGTTTGTGCACTCATTATGCTCATCTGTTCTATCCCGTCTAATTAAACGTTAATGCTGGCACTGGATCATGAAACTACCACTCTCGAGCCACTGAAATATTGCAGTTCACGTGCTCAGGATTAGGCTGCAAGCGTGATGATCGGCGTGTGCGCATTTGACATCGATTGCCAAAAGGAGAAGCGCAGGTCAGCAAAACAATGCCACGCCATGCTCGACGATTGGTTTTGTTCAAGCATGTCATGCACACGTGACCTCTTGGTCCAATGCCGGAAAGGGTAAGTGTTGTGTTGCCGTCGGGGGACCGTTTGAGGGAGACAATGGGCCCTTAAGCGCTGGAGCACTGAAATGAGCATCACGCTAGGCCGAGCACAGAGAAGAAACTGTTTCTTCAGAGAGCGCGCATTAGCGCGTCGCAATCGTTTGCAATATCACCGTTGCGTGGTGGTATGCGACACATCCCATCGAAACTGAAACATGATCGGAGGTCACAAAATGCCCGACACAACGCACAATTTTGCAGGAAGATGTTGACGCACGTAGTGACAAGTTTTCTGCTTTCAGTCTTTTCTCGAGATGGCTACTATAACAAAATCTGTGTGACAAGGGCCCTCAGTTTTGCTCCCAAGAATTCAACAAGTTCCTGAAGGATCGTGCTGTTTCCCCCTTGCTGTCTTCGTAGTACTATTCCAAGCAAATAGACTCGTAGAATGCTTCAACCGGTTCTTCATAAACTTGGTAAGTAAAGCTTTGCTGGAAGATCGACCCCTATGCCCAGCGGTCATCGAGTACCTTGGCATCTTCCGGTGTGTATCACACGTGACCAGCGAGGTCGCCCTGGCTCTGCTGCTGCATTGAAGACTTCTGAGAACATGTTTGGATGTACCATTTGTCTTCTTTCTCCAAAGACCCAGCCACAGAGCTGGGTTACCGCTTGCTCATGAGGCATCTCAAGTGGCGGCTGCCTGTTACTGTTATGCTGTTGGTGATGCCGGCATGCCTGAACCATCAGCAGGTGCACCTCTTGCTACTACAGTGGCTGACCAAGCTGCTTCCCTGAACCACATGCACGTGTCCAACCATCAAAGGCCCTCGAAAACACTGGGCTTGTGCCAATAGTCAATCTTAGGTTCGAACAATCTTGAATCCAATACAAATAGTATATACATCGCATATTGTAAAAAAAAAATGGGCGTATTTGTCATGACCAAACTAACCTGCACAATACTTTTGAAAAATTCAAGCAAGGCCTGTACAAATGCCACTTATTGCATAAAAAAAAGTGGAAACAACTTTGAATAGTAGCAGGATTCGACTTTCGGTAGAATGAAAGTGATAGCCTGTAAAATATGTTTCTTTTTAAAATTTGTTATACCGTATTTATTGGCATAATTTGCATGCCCCTAATATTTTGGCCGTTATACAGAAAAAAAAAATTTACTGGAGTATTTTACACTCCCTGACCCGCTCGAGCCAGCTCACCCGTGCATGCACGGAGAGACGTTGGACCTTTGGACTGTATTGTACGGGGCGACACATAATTTGCATATTTTTTTACTAGGCATGGCTAACACATCTAGAGTGGCGACTTTATGAGTGATATTTCAAGAAAAATGGCAACATTTGGTGACTTCCTGCTCGTCGTTTCGCGATTTTTACTTGAAAGCCAGAAGCAACCCCAACTAGAACTATAGTGCCTGGAATATATTTCTAGGCACTATACTAGAACACCGTACTCGCCAAATCTGCTTAAGCATTTGCCTCCCTTCCCCTATCTCTAACATGAAAACGTACGCTCGGGTCACGGGACGAACAACTTTCTACGTCAGAGGCGTGTGAGCGCCTGTCGCGCCAACTGTTCCCCTCGTTCTCTGCGTTCGTGCTGCAATGCACACCTGGTTGATTTCCGAAGTTTGGGTTTCCCCATCCATCGCGTTTTTACTGTTCTCTTGCGATGTCCTACTGTAATTATAAATATTAGGCAAAATTCAAGCTCACTGTTGTGAAGTTTGCCAAAGAAAACTGGAACTGTGCCGTCGCCAGGCACTTCAACGTGAACTTCAAGGCGCGACTATCGGCCTGATTGGTGCAAAAAAAGCAGAATGTGCACTAGCTAATACAACTTTTCTGCCATTGAAGAAGGCCTTTTCAATTATATGCGAATGCTTGGGTCTTTCAGTATCGCTGTGTCATGGGACCTAGCTTTTCCCAGCATTGTCGAAAAGAGCTTCAAGAAAATGAGGCATTCGAACGGGCTCGACAGAACCGAGGACGATACGCTTTGGGAAGGCATTGACAGCGGCCATGACGATGATTCTCAATTGAAACTTTCGATAAGCGATTCCAACTAAACTGCGCGTGACCATATTTGACTGGTTAATGTACGTGTTAATTCTGTTTAATTAACAAGTACACTTTGTCTGTGCATCAATTTATTAATTTTTTGTGTTAAGTGCGTGGTTTACAATATGATGACAATATATAAACATTGACAATATATGACAATATATAAACATTGTACGACATCATAAAGTGCGTAAAATAACCAGTAGCCACTGGGAGCCATCGGAAGCGTAGGTGCGGTGATGAAGTAGTTGATCGCGGATGGTGAAACGGGAAGCTTGACATCAAAGGGATCGAGATACCGGAAGGTTGGGCATGCCTGATACATATTCAAGAAGAGTTGTGATCCGCGGGTCACGACGTTGTTAGGTGGCTATCAAGCCGAAATTGAGAGATGACAAAGGCTAGCCGCAAGTATTTCCGTATGTCGGATCTGGTGGTAAAAGTGAGCAGGACAGGGCGTCAGTATCCGAGTGGTTGCGTCCACAGAGGTACACAACGCGAACGTCATGCTCCTGGATGCGGAGTGCCCATCGGGCAAAGCAGCCAGAGGGGTCTTTCAATGTGGAGCGCCCGCAAAATGCGTGGTGATTGGTGAACGGGCGGCTTTATACAGTCAGAACTTTCCAAGCACCCACACTAGAGCCAAATACTCTTTTTTTTTTCTGTCACGTTGTCAATAGCTTTTGCTTTTACCAGAGTGCCGCTAGCATAGGCTACAACGTATTCTGAATAGCTAGGCTTTCGTTGAGCGAGGACAGCACCAAGTGCGATGCCGCTGGCGTCAGTGTGCACTTCGATAGGAGTTGTAGGGTCAAAGTGGCAAAGAACAGGTGGTGAGGTGAGCAGACGGCGCAAAGTAGTGAAGGCAACGTCACACGCAGGGCATCAGGAGGAGAGCTTCACATCACCGTGAAGATGCTGGGTTATTGGCGACATGATAGATGCAAAATTGCGAACAAAGAGTCGGAAATAGGAGCACAAGCCTACAAAACTACGAAGTGCCTTTATAGTTGTCAGCTTGGGAAATTCTGCGACTGCTCGAAGTTTTCATGGATCAGGTAATCGGCGTGCTTGGGCACGATGTGGTCTAGAATGATGAGCTCCCGTGCGGCGAAGCGGCATTTTTTCAGGTTAAGCTGGAGGCCAGCATTAGTCACATAAGTTAAAACCTGCTTGAGGTGAAGGAGGTGCATAGGAAAGCCATGAGAGAAAACCACGACATCGTCGAGGTAACAGAAGCAAATATTCCCCTTGACACCACATAGCGTATTATCTATAAGTCGTTCAAATGTGGCAGGCGCGTTACAAAGCTCAAAGGACATGATGTTAAACTTGTATAGTCCGTCAGTCGTAATAAATGCAGTTTTTTGGCGATCGGCTTGAGCCACTGTCACTTGCCAGTATCTAACGCCGAGAAGAATTCCACTCTGTGAAAGGTGTCAATGGCGTCATCAATGCGTGGCAAAGAATAGATCGTTTAGCGGGTTATCTCATTCAAATGACGATAGTCCAGGCAAAACTGGATAGATCCGTCTTTCTTATGCACCAGGGTGACAGGAGACACCCAGGGACTGTAAGATGGTCGAATGACGTTTCTACGAAGTATATTTTTGACTTGATAGTTAATGACGTGGCGCTCTTCAGCGAAAACACGGTAAGGTCTTTGACGCAGTGGCTGGTGTAGACCAGTGTCAACATGATGTTTGACTTGCAACGTGCGGCCCAGTTGACGTTGCGATACACCGAAAGAATTCCGGAATT